CAACTTCTTTCAAATTTTGAAAATAGCCTGGGCTAATGAAAATTTCTCTTTTCCCTAACAATTAAAAAAAATTATTTTACCACAAGTTCATAAAAAAAAAAAATTCATTCTTTGTCTGTCAAAACAAGTTGTGATGTTAAGACTGAAATTGAAGGGATCTGTATCGGCATAACTACATAAGGTGATTTTTACACTTAACCTAAGTGTCTTTCATAAACAGTTCATCAGCAGGATTCAAACGCATCTAAGGCTTTCTGTTACATTTCAAAGCTGAACAACAAGTACTCATCTTCATGATACTTCAAAACATCAGCAATTGGCTATTTGCCCATTATTGAAATCAGTCTACAGAAACAGCTAAGCTTGCCATCATTCTTGCCCTCCAGGAATACATTATATTTAGGAAACAGCAACAAACAAACAAACAAACAAACATATCCCCCCAAACAAACAAAGAACCCCCACTTTCCTCCCAAAAACAACCACATACACACACCTCCTCCCCCAATTACAGTACAAGCCCCCCACCTCCTCAAATCATTTAACATAAAGTTTTGGGCAAGGAAGTAGAGCTTGTTTATGATTTGAAAAGACCAAAAAAAAAAAGGCAGCTATGTCTTATGGAATATCTAGTCCTAAAGGATTAGTTTCTACACCTTGACGAAAAGCCCACTTAGCTAGCACTGTACCTAGCTATTCCATAAATGTAAAAAGTCTAAATACTTGATAAAGAGCCACCTCTGCAGCAGAAAAGTCTCTCCAAAAGCTAGGCCATAAGGGGGATTAATTTCCTGACCTAACTTTGCCTCCAGTTCTACTCAGAATCTACTCAAACTGCCTCACTACATTTTTTATTTCTGTGGCACATGACACATGACTCAAGTTACACAGGGAATCAAGGTTGAAAGGATAATGCTGTTAACACTCATTTTTCAGCGTGAATGTCGCTGTACCAATGACAGCAATAGAATAAATGTTACTGTAAACAGCAGTCAGTTATTTTTGCCAATATACCATGAAAATATTTTCTGCTTAAAGTCATTCTAAGTGCTCACACTGCAGTGGAAAAAGATCGATTTGGGAAAACGCAAGTAAAGATGCAGTTACAGGTAGAGCTGGGCATGAGACAGCCAAGGTTTCAAACATCTTTGTGCCCAATGAAAACTAAGACATTCATTTATTTTGGTTAATTTGGGGGGGTGGAGAAGGGAGAAAGAAAAGAGAAAAATGAAAAAAAAAAAAAATAAGACCACATGAATGACTCCATTACCAAACCCTGCAGAATGGATACAATTAATTTCTTTGATTTACTACATAAGATAATATTTTCACAAATGAGTAGAGCCTTGAGACAAAGCGATGTTTTGAACCCAAATTTTCAGTTCCTTCTGAGGTCTACCTTTACAGGGAGTCTTAAAGCAGGTTTTACACCTGACATCTTGGAAGACAAACTCTCCTTCAATTTCTGAAGTAGGTATTTTTCAGGACATAATGGGAGCTTAGAGGAATTAATCCCACTTCCCTGCCTAGCCCTATTTACTTCTCCGAAGACAAACAGACACCCTTCTGATGACCAAGGGAGTCAATTCAAAATAATCACTAAAAAGAGAACAAACAAAAAATTCGCAAGAGACTACTTTTAAGTGTTCTTTTTTCTTTGCTCAGAGGTAGGTGATCGCTCCTCGCATTTTATCCTTTTCACCTCGGTATTGTAGCTGAGCATCTAAACCCTTATTTTCATTCCTGAAGTATTAATCTTTTTCTCCCTTAAAAAGCTAGGTAACAATTACAACAGAGAACAGTTTCAGGTGTTTTGAACCTTCTCAGCTTACAGTAAGTCAGCTCACACTCCCCCTTGACATTTTCCACCCTCAGCTCTGTGCAAAGTCTCCTTCATAATGCACTCAAATGAGGCAGAAATACTTCTTTACACTATTTGAAAGTTAAAAAAAAATATCCAAGGGGAGAGGAGAAGGTAACTAGGAAACGCCAGAAAAATGAGAGAAAAGAAAGAAGCAAAAGTTCCCGTAGAGCCAAAATTTACCTGAAATTCACTTTAGTTTAGTTGAAGAGTTCTGCAGTAAAGCCAATTAACCAAGTGGTTTTCATCTACATGTAAGCTTTCAACTTAATGGAAAATAACAAGGAAAGTACAGATTTCCATGTATTTCTCAAGAAGTACAAAACTGACTCCCACTCTAACCAATTTTTATGTGCTATCTCTGAATTAGCATCATGATGCCACAATTTCAAGATAGGTAGGTTGTATTTACAAATTTTACATTTCCATATTCAGAATGACAGTGGAACATGGGTTGCCCTAAGATACAAGAATAAAAATGGTAGTTATCCATCAAGTGCTAAGCCTGTAATAAATTGCAGATGTGGAAACATGTATGGTTTCATTAGCCAAAAATTACTGCTCTTAACTTTTGTAAACATTCACTTTCTGAATATTTACAGTCTTACAAACACATAAGTAACTATAGCATTTTCAGAATATTAAAGTATGCTTTGTATCATTTTTGGCCAATTTTATGTAAGCAAAGAAAACATTATCACAATTTTCTAGCAATCATTTTAAATTTAATTAATTTCTAACAGTTCTGAAAAGAGAGTTTGCTTTTCCTGAACAGTCCACTGCATGCAGCTCCTAAGAACACCTCACACAATCAAGAGCAAACCTCATGAAGTCCCATGGTGGCAGGGCCCAGGGCACCTCCAGGAAGAGAGCACTGGATGTGCAGTGCAAGTAGTGGTGTCCAGAAGGACCAAAGTCCTGCTTCTCCTCAGAGGACTTCAGATTGCATCATCAGCTTCATACAGGCTCATCAGAAGCAACAGAGAAACAACAGGGGCTTGCTGTAACCATACTGAGCCTTTTTAGATGCTCAAGATCAAAAATGTCATTGGAAATGGCTGTTTCATAGCCACCTAACCTTAGACAGTGCCCATGCCTAAGCTGAGTGAGTACTTCCCCAGATGGATTGCTGAGGTCCTTCAATAAGTAGACTTTAGTTCAGTGATCCCTACAATGTGATAAAATCACATTGTTAATGGAAGATTGTCATAATGTTCAGTTCTGGCACAACTTCTAAGTGAGCTCTTTTACTAGACTGCCACTAATTCTAGTTGCTTTAGAAATCCTGGCATGTCTTACAACACTGCACCCTTAAACAAACAAAAAGATAAATTTTATTGCAGGAGAAAACATAGTAGAGATTAAAAAAAAAAATCATTTATGACTGTACTTAGATATCTCAGACAAAAAAATAAAAATCCTTTTTTTTCTAATCCTGTGGGCACCCACTACCTTTTTTTTCTAAACTAAAAGTAGTTTCAGTCATATTCACCTTCCAATCTCTGTTTATTTAGTACAATAGGAGTAAGTTAGATAATATATTGAGTCCTTTCAACATTTAATTTCAAATGACTAAATGTGGTCTCAGGAATCTCACCTGCACTCCTTTTACAAGTCCTAGAGTGTCAAAACTGAAGTCAATTAATCATGCATTAAATCCATGACACTTACTTTCAATCATACAGAAATCTACTTATTTCATAGCCCTAGGAAGTTATAGTTTTTTTGTCTATTATGACAGTTCCCTGTGAGACTGACATATATACAGATGAACTTTGACAATAGTTAACAGCAAATGAGCTACAGCTCCCTGTATCAACACAGGGTAATTTCACATTGACAAAATTGCTGATCAGTTAAATAGCATATGTTCTGAACTAGACTGATATAAAATTAATGCTCCAGGATTGTGTAGAAGCTTGATGTACCCCGTGTCCCATTTTGTCATTTAATTTTAGATAATAATTACATACTATATCATTTCTTAATGTAGCCAAATATGAAACAAAGAATATTGATGACCTGTATTTATTTTGCAGATGTTACTATAGCAAAGAAATCTTTCATCCTTGAGCAGTATTACATTTTTTGCATGCAACTTGAAACTTAGCTATTTGGCATAAAAGTATACTGGTGTTTTTAGTGAACATATAAAAGATGCAATAATAGATAGACCTGAATTAATTCTGTTCCAGTTCTGAGCTAGCCATGAGGCATGAGAGAGAAAAGCACAAAAAGGCCCTGAGGTAGATCAGCTAATTAAGATCTAATTAAGGAAACAATCCCATATCCCAAAGAGTGCTAAGAAAAAAATCTTAGGTGCCTGCATACCTGCAGCTTTCATAGAAGGAATGCATGTTTGAATGCCTTCCTGAATGTGGTGACCCTACATGCTTTCTCTGCAGAGCATTTCAGTTCTCTGTGAGCAAGGAGGTAAAAAATTGCTCTTCCTTTATTTAAAAATACTGAAGACATCCATGTTCCACCAAAAAAGGAATTTTAAAATTCTGCTAATACAGCCTAATAGAATAATAAAATGCATTTTCATGTGTTTGATGTTTTTAATTTCTGTATTAGGTATTTAACTTCCTTCAGTCACTGGAAAGTATTCTGCCTATCCTTAAAATGGTAGTAGTCAAGAATTAGTAGCCCATATGCTATGGAAAGGTTCAGCAAATGTAAGAATACTTATTATTTTATGTAAAGACATCCATTATGGATAAAAAAAAAGGCATTTCGTTTTCTACTGAACAATCTTGTGCATGTGAAAAGCAGCTCATGGGAGAAGTACTGACAATTTATCAGGCATGTGCATGGCCCTTCAAGATTTCTGGCATATGCATACAGTGCTGTGCTACTTAATCTGCCTCTGATCAAGACAACTGTCAACACAATCTTTTCAAAGAAACTTCTACTAGCAGTGAATCTAGATAGCCACTTCAGAGGCTGACAAGTCCCTAGAAATGTACAGTCAGTGTTATCAGTGTTTATCCATATGATTAGCATAGCCCTAGGCTAGCTACTCTGTAGAGGGTGTGAAATTGTATTTCTTTAATTTCTGCTCTTGGAGTGACATTATCAGGTAAACGAACTCAAAATCACCCACAAAAAAAAAAAAAAGACTTCTTCTTCTGCTTACCAGCTCCTCACGAAGCTGGGCTATGAGTTCATCTCTCTCCTTCAGCTGCAGCTTCAGCACCGAGCATTCATCTTTTATTCCATCCTACAAAAACATCAAAAGAGATATTATAATAGGCTTAACACTTTTACTTTACTCTTGACAAGAAAAGGCTGTTTCACACAGTGTGAGATAATTACATTCAAATAATGAAACTCAATTCTTCTTTGTCATGTGTGGTATTTTCAATAACATTTTCTAAGCTGCTTCATAAACAAATTAATGCATCCAAAGACATTACACAGAAATGTGAATAGTTCCCTGCACAGAAGTCCATTTCTTTGTTTTCTGGATTTTTAAGCCTTTTTACTGAAGATCCTATCAGGTCATTCTTTTTCATTTAAGGAACAGTTATGAAATGTTATAATTTTAATCATACAAAACAACATTAGAGAAATATCAGTTTAGAAACATTATTGCAGAGCTCTTGATCTTGGAGAGATGAAAAAGAAAGAACAGATATCCAGAGGAAAAGCAAAGCATGGATACATCTTTTGTCCCACACCAGCCAAAATAGCAGCAGTTCTGGTATTAACTAGGGGAGTAAAGAAAATAGTTACCACTTAGCAGCATAACCATTGACTAGAATTCAATTTGACTTGCATGAAAATTAATCTAATAGCTAAAACTGTAGCAAAACCCAGGTCCATGAGGCAGTCTGCAAGCTGTCCACAGGTAATTTAATGGGTTCATGTAAATCTGAACACTTTAACTGAAGAAGAAATATTGATTATGTAGATTTGTGTTGTTCTGATAAACACCCAAGAGGAGAAACTCAAATTAAATGACTGCACTGTTGAGTAATAAAGACATAAGAAACTAACCAGCCAATTAGTTGGTCATATAAATGTAACTGATGATCTCTATATCCTTCTACCATGGAAATATATTTTAGTTTGGGAAATTTAATGGTTTGGAGTATCAATATTTAAAAAAACCCACACATAAAAGCCATACAACAAGAAAACTTATGGAAATCTGCTGGTATTTGCACAACACTTCATTTAAAAATAAAAAATTGGACCTCTAGTTATCAGCTAATAACAAGTGTAAGAGTGCAGAAATTAAGACCATGTAGAGTTCAGGGATTCAAAAGGGTATAACAAGCATGATAAACTTGAACTCTGTCAGTACTGATGTGGTTTTGACTACTTATCCTCCTGCAAAATGAGTTTATATCAATATTTTATCAAGGCTATTGGTCTAATGAGAACATGGATGCTATGAAAACATCAGTCCAAATAATTCAATTTATGCTCCTGTACACACTGTAGCTTTGAGGCCATTTTGCTGAGTTTAATAAATGATATGTACTACATATTACATAGAGTATTACATGTTATAATGTTATTCTCATTATTTTTATGAATGCTGTTCATTATTTTGTTATGAAAAAAGGATAAGAATTCTGCTCTCCATTGCAGTAACCATGTTTATAACAGGCTTGTCCAAGATTTTGGAAATATTTGATAAAAAGAGAAGTCAATTAACATCTCATTCTTAAAGAGAACTCTTAAGACACAGTATGATCTGTAAATAAAACTGTGCATCTTCAAACTACTTTCTTTTATTAAATATAATCAAAAAGGTTTGTAGTCTAAATTCCAAGTGTACCTAATAAAAATGTAAAAGCAGCTATTTATCATTTTCTTCACTTATATGCTCTGATATTGTAAAAAAAAAAAATCACGACTTATCTTCAAGTTCACTATGGATCTGCTGTTATTATCGTACATGTTTATGGTCAGAATATTCTTCAAATTATCATCCTCTTACTTACTTTCAGTCATCAGCTGTGACAGTGATTGCTACGTCTCAATGCTAGTATTTGCCTGTTTTAATTCTGTCCATTTGGGAAAATGCTAAACATAATAGCAAATCTGTTTCTCATCAGATCAGGTCACAAGATGACAAATTTTCTGTGTGCGATGACAGCTGCAGCAGGTTATGTGTAAGTGCCAAAAAGCATAATAATTTCCATTATTTCCATTATTTCCATATATACTTACTTGACACTTCTTCATACTTTGGAACAAATAGGTATATCATGCTTACTATAATCAAAGGGCTATAAACAGAACTAACCAAATATTATGGAAGATAAATGTACTGCTTTTCCTTTGATACTAATACGAATATGCTTCCAAAATTGTACCACAAAATTAGAATATCATAAAACTCACTTGATAAATGTGTTGAATTTTGGATGCTAAACAGATTGTTTGCCAACTTAGGGTACTGCAAAAAATCAGCAATTACTTAGGATGTAGCATCTTAAGAAAACAATCCTAGAACAAATCAAACTAAGAAATTTAAAACCGAATACTAGGTCCAGAAAGATACATAAATGATGTAACAGTTGAAGCTTCCTCTAAGTTATACAGCAGATCTACACGGCAAAATTAATCCATTTCTGGATACCTGCCTAGAACATTCAGAGAAAACACAAGCGTATAGGATTTTAATGCCAAGAGCATAGGAGCCTAGACTATGTACAGGATTGTGGACATCTTTTGCAGTTCACTTTATAATATCTGACAGCTGAAAAGCAACAAGTAGTTTTGTGGATCTTAGATGAAAATTGTAGAGTAGCACCATTATCTATCTCCAAACAGAGATACCACTTGTGTTAACGCATATGATATTGATACATCCAGTTTTAATATAAGTAAGAGCATCTTATTATTTGAGATTACACATGAGTAGACTTCTACATATTACAGACCGTGTTTTCAAAAATGAGGTTTTTGTCAGATCATGAGTAGTTGTATGGGTTATTGTTACTCTTGTTTTAATCAAAGTCTTAACAATACTAGCACAAGGCAGAGAGCCTGAACCTGCATTATTTGGTTCAGGGTGTCAAAATGAAATCACTGGTCTGGTCCCCTGATGTATGTCCACCATGGCACCTTATGTACGCAGTATGACTTTTTCCCTTTCTGTGCTCACTCTAGCTCTACTTACTGCATCACTTTATATCTGTTGTATCAAGTCCTTTCAATCACACCAAGAGAGAAATGATTTGGCTGGTTGTACTTCTTCACATGAGCAAAACACATTGATTTTGGTTTTTTGGCTCATCTGTTTTTCTGGTGCTGTGCCAGACCAGTTAGACTTGGCTGGAGTCTCAACAATGCTCCCAAAGAGCAGCCGCTGACTGCAGGCAATGGTCACACTTAACTCTCCTGCTTCTCACGTCAAGCTGCCCTGCCAGCTGCTGCTTAAGCCCAGTACCAGGGTGAGAGCAAGTCCATGCCTCAGAAGTTCCTGTTAGAAAGCTTAACAGGCAACTCAGAGCAATCTCCCATGGCCATCTTGACCCAGCACAAGCAGAGCCTCACTGCAAGTTATTTTTCTGGTAGGAACAAAACAGGTCAGTAAAATCCTTACGCAGGAAACCACGGTCATATCAGAAACAGACATCATGTTGTACATCTTCTTTCCACATAGCTTCAGTATTCAAATGATATTTCTAAAGGAACAACTCTATTTTATTTCCTGATCAGGAAATCAAATGGAGCTTGGGGAGTAGGGGACCTGATCTTATAATGATAAATAAAGGTGCTTAATCTCCAAAAAAAATCCTTATGCAATGTTTTAAGTTCAATTGCATGGAACATGTCAATAAATATTTTACTGGACAAATTACGGCAGCTATATCCATTGAAATACTAGAACTCACTTGATACTCTGCTACGAAAGTAGCATCAAAAAGACTACTGAGTAGCATCAAAAAGGCTATGCAGGCTTTAACTTCAGACATTTATGAACATAGAGCTAAATAAATAATATTTTCTTCACAGTGATCCACATGTATGTTAACTGGGAAATGCAGATTGGACAAAATAATTTGGTTTGGTTTGGTTTTGTTTTTTTACTACAGCTGAAATTTGCTCTCTTTCAGAGCAATAATTAAAAGCATTACTTTTAAAGGAATGAAGCTTGACTAATAAACAGCAAATATAAAACTGAATGATCATACTAGATGAAGGCGAAGACATGTCTCATCTGCAGAAACCATGAATAGCAGCCAAGAGAGTAACAAGCAATATGAATGTATTTTTCCCAATATAACCACTTCACTCATTCTTCCTTTATGGTCAGAACTCATACACACAGTATGACACCTCTTCTGGTGATATCCCTAAATAAATCACACATTTATTAAGAGAAAACAACTGAGCGAAACAAATCCCCCCATCCTTCTTTCTCAACCTGCTGCGGAAAAATGTAATTGTTCCTATCTTAAGAAAAGACAGGACTACTTCCTAACCATCTCCTCCACACCTTCCATTGTTTTATAAGTCTGTATGCTTCCTGCATAACTACTGTCCACTCTGTTTAAAGCTAAGAAATATCTTCGTCCTTACATAAGACACTCTGTATCTCTGGTCAAAACCTATCAACCACCTTTTCTAGTTCCACTGTATCATTCATTCAAACCGGGTAATCAGGGTTCCATGTAGCACTAAAGCAGTAGATGAGCCATCCATTCACACAGTGTACTATGATATTTTGCTTTGGATTAATTTCTAAGTAATTATTCAAAATAAATCTTAAGGGCACAGATTTATAGAAAAAAAAATCACACATCTGCTATGTTTTTCATAGAAGGGGGAAAAACACAATCAAGCACACTTTTGTAAACCTAAAGTCAAATGTCAGAAACTTCAGAATAAACAAATTTTGGGAACAATGTCCCTCTACCTAACTCATCAAGAATGCTGTAAGAACTATCAAGAATAGTGGCTCAACTGTATGTACTTCTTTTTTTAATTTTAATAATTATTAAGGAGGTCTTTCTGAGGAACTATGTCTAAAAGTTCTCGTTCTTCATTTAGAAAAATAGGACTATTGTTCCCTTGGGTACTCCACTGTGTCTGCTGACATTGAATCTCAACTGCCTTTCATCTTTAAATCATTTAGTATGATGAAATCTTTCTGCAACATTTCATACCCCATTTTAATTCTGATTACTCTGGACCCTCTAGAAATATAATTCTTCCTTTAATAAATGACTACTTACTCATGTCTTTTGTACTCTA